TCCTTTTTATGACCAAATATAAACGAAATTAACGAAAATCATCAAGCTTAAATTTCGCATTAAATGTATTCTTATAATTAATTCGTAATTAAATACTCAATAAGCATTTTGTTGCCTTCCTTGTACATATTGTTACGAATTTTGTGTAAAATAGCATAAATAATTTGTATTTGGGTGTGTAATACATTTATATTGCTCTATGTTACATTTAGTTTATGTTAAAATTGTAATTTTTGCAAGCCCTTACGTTAAAATGGAGGTTCAATGGGAACTTGGCGAAATCTCTTGGCAATAGAGCCAAGTGTGCATCATTTTTGGCGACCAATTTGGTGACTTCGGCGAGCATGTTGGCGAGCTCGGGACCCTATGTGTTTTTTTTTTTTTTTTGGAAATTAGTGGAGAAGCCCACTAATTAACGCAAGCTCATCTTTCTCGAAGGATCCGCGAGGCCTATAAATAAGAAGACGCTCACCGAAACTGGGTCAATCTGATTTTGACTAGCGGAAAAGTTAGTCTTTGTTTGACTAGCGATTTGCTAGTATTGCTTTGACTAGCTATTAGCAGTCTGTTTGACCGCGAAGATAGAATAGCTATTAGCTCGGCTGTTGAGTAGGACGACCAGTGCTCGTGAAAAATCTAGCCTATTGTATTTAGACACTGATATTGTGTCTGAGCGCTGTGGAAATTCTTTCTGCAAATTTTGTGGCTGAATCCTGAGCTTCAAGGATTGATTTTCGACAATAGATTCTTATCGCTGTTTAAGAACTATCTTGTTGTTTGCGACTGATTTGCATAAAATCCTCGAACCCCGATCAACGTAACAATCTTATTTTTTTTTAACATTGAAAATTATTATCATAAACTATTTTACATAATGTATTAGATGAGAAAAACACTTTTAAACTCTTATTTTATTGTTAGTGTGCTGCCAAATTCTGAAATTGTTAAAAGTGTACCGCAACAACAACAAAAATATGCTGAGATTCACTGTTCTACAGGATGTTCATGGTTCGACAGCAACTCTTTGACTGACGATTTCTCGAATTGTCCGCCAGAGGTCACTGTTCACATATTGCTTTGTTACGGTTTTACATTTTTTGGGTGTTCATTGGTCTCGAGTTCTTTCCTGCGGATATTAATAAAATGACGCAAAAGCATAGCCCAGTATTTCAGAAAAAAAAAATCAAAATGGAGCGATTTGGTATTAGAAACAGATGTTAAGGTTATAAGGGAGAAGTATCAAAATATTAATACTAGAATCGAAAAGAATCTAGTTTATAAAAGTTTTCCTTTTTTCTCCCCATCCCGAATAAAAGCTGAACAACAAAAATAGCAATGTTGAGTATCGTGTCAACGCAACTTTTAAAAGTATTATTGATATCAAGTTTGTTGTCATATTGACAACCGGGATTATTGTAAGGTTCAAGAAATCTTTGAAAGAAAAATGGGTATTAAATTGAAATAAAATGATTTATTGATAGAAGAAATTGATCTTTTTGACGTTTTCGAATTCATAAAAAGTCACGCGATAAAAATATTTGCTCAAAATATGCAGGGTTTTTGCTTTCTTTTCCTTCAGTGTAGTATATTAAAATAGGATTGTTAGAAAAAGGGGAATAGAGGCGTTTTTGTCAATAAGGGAGCTAAAACAGGAATAACTCTTCTATAAAAATTTAAATCCAGCATACAATGTAAACCTTGCCTCGAAATAATATTTCTAAAAAAAAAAATAAACATGTTTTTGATTTTTTTTTTAAAAAAATCAATTTTAAAACATGGCTTAAAAATTTTAATGAGTTTCTCATTTTTACTGAAAAAAACGTAAGAAAAAAAAACCTATTCAATAACTCTTTTTTAAACGCTTAAAAATCTTCCATTTTAAGAAATTTCTGAATTCAAATGATTAAAATAATTTTTTTACTCCGAAAACTTGCATATTACGACATTAGTTCCTCTGTATTTTCACCTTTGTAATAAAAAAATATTGTTACACCTCTCTTTATTTTTCGTAATAGTCGTATTACATAAATAGTTTTTATATTTTTATTTATTAATAAACAGTAAAACAGTATACCATATCTTGTGTCTACACCAGGGGTACTCAACCTTTTTTTCCCGCCGGACAGCAAAGACATGATAGGTATTTCACGCGGGTCGCATACACATGACAGTTATTTCATGCGGGCGGTAACATGCGGATAATAGAAACAAGTAATATAAAAAAAAATTTCAGTCAATTCCTACTTAGATCAACAAAGAAAAATTTTATTTTAGCTACTTTTTATATTAAATAGTTACAATTAATATAAATATGTATACGTATACATATGACACACAGAATCACAACATTAATTTATTAATTATCATTAAAGTATCGTATTCTCATCCTAAACAATCGTGTATACAAAATTTCATTTCAACTGAATGCTTTAAAATGTGAGAAAAAAATCTGCCATCTCTCCCATATACACGAATTTTTTTTTAGCATAAAGATTATGTCTCGTCTGCGTTCTTTAAAAGTATAACTCCTCCCATAAAAATAATTTGTTTACGCTATTGCTCTTGGTTGGCGCTGGTTCTGTCGATTCCCGTGTTCGACTCCTGTTGGCACTGAGTGAATGAGTATTAACGTCCCACCATTCAGCTACTCAAGGGTTTTTAACGATGCACCTCGTAATTTTGAATCACTGTCAAAGGACGAGGACAACACCTGAGCTGTCACCCCCCTCGCCTAACTACCACACCATTTAGAGGACGTTTCAACCTCGAAGTATCTAACGTGCATCGTCCACCCTCGGTGTGGCAGATCTTCAACGGTACTAGGCTCGAACTCTTGACACGCCAGCCACGAGTCCGTGACCATTACCACTAGGTTGCTGCGGCCACCCTAGTGCCTCTGAAGATTCACCGTGTAGAAGGATATCTGTCTGAAGAGTGTACGTTATATCTGTTGTGGCTCTCAGAGTCCTCATTTTGAGGAGGTTTGAAACTTTGATGAGTGGTACAATTCTGGTGTTATCCACGTCACTTGGCCGCAGTTCAAAATTACGTAATCCTTCGCCAATAGCCTTGTTGCTTCAGATGTGACGTCAATAAACAATCAATCAATACGTTTTTTTATTTTTTAAAAAAAATTTTTTTTTTAATTCATGCGTCTAATGGACTAAATTCTTATGACGTCATAGTCACATGATAATGGCAATCACGTGTTTCTAGACAATCAGTTCAAAAACTCATGTCGCGTCATAGTCACGATATAAATACAATCATCTATCTTCAGCTAATCAGACCATACACTTCGTTGTTGCCAAAGTACGTTTTTTTACAGAAACTTTTTTTGTTAAAAAGTATAATATTTGTCACTTTATTTAAAATTACATTAAAAAAAAACAACTTGTTTTATATATTTTAAAATTTTTTTGTTGAAGTTTCTTTTTATAACTGTTGTGTGTACATCTTTACCCGATTATGAAACTTGAAATTTTATCTGATTTATAGGAATAGAATAAAAAGTACAAGTTTGTCAGTTTTAAATTCAATGTAGAACACGTGTTTGCAGTTATCATGTGAGTGTCATGAATTTAGTCCATTATTTATTCTGAATCGTCAGTTTTAATTAATATTCACTGTTGATTTTAAATTTGTTCACTTTCCATACAAAAAACGTCAGAAAAACTATATTATACTTTTTGAGGAATAAAACATGCTAGGAAAGACGACTAAGCTTAGGTATTTCAACGGATGTTACTATTCCTAGATACGTCACCGTGGCATTGAAAATACAGGTCTGTGAACATATACTTCACTAATTTCAAGCTAAAAGATTAATAACTTAAATTAATGTTTGAAAATGAGCCAAGGTAACGAAATCAAAAACAACTGCTCGAAAAAAACAATGTAATCACTACTTACGTAACTCAGAACTCATATTAAATTCGTTCTTTGCTTTTTTCCCCACTCATATGGTTTCTTACCTTACATAAGAGCGCTTTTTTTTCTATTGATTTTTTGTCTTACTTGCTTCTTGACTTTGTATGGACTCTTTTATTTCTTTGGACTTGCACATTTTCAATTTTTTTCTAAATGATTGGATTAAATTTCTTCAAGATACGTGAACTTAAAAAGCTTCGTTTTTTCCGTGGAGCCATTCTCCTTCTAACTACAAAAGATCGAAACGTGAAATGCAATTCCAAGCTACATTGAAATTTGATAAGTTTTTAAACTCGGCAGAAATAAGCATTCTAAAAATAGAAATGTCTTAAATTCTATGTTAAGTAACATCTGCGTGGGTTGTTTCTTCTGAATATAGTATATTTGAAATTCTATTTTATCATCATTCTTGTTTTATATACGTAGTTAGATAGGAAAGTATAAGGAATATCAGTCTCCGGTTGTTAAAGTTATGTGAAGTAATGACGAATGAACATTCTGTGTATGTGTGAAAAAATTTTTTTAAAAATAATTCTTAATAAATTTTTAGGATTTTTTTTGTTTCTTGATTTTATATTCAAGGTTTTATACTCAATTACATTTTCAAATTATCAGTGTTTATTTATTTAACTTTTATAGAGCATACTCCTCATACAACATAATTTATCACAAAACTCGTTCCACATTCTAAAACATAAATTTTAGTTCCATTATGGCTCATTCTATTTCAGGAGGGTGCGATAAAAATCATGGCTACTTTCTCTCTGCTCTGTTTTCTAAGAATCAAATAATATAAAAAAAATTTAAGTCAATTCCTACATAGGTCAACAAAGAAAATTTTTATTTTAGTTACTTTTTATAAAATAATTACAATTAACATAAGTATGCATATACATATGACAGAATCACAATATTATAAGTGACAAAATAGAAAGCGATTTTCCGTTTTCTTTTCCATATATGGTGTCGGAATTTTTTGTTTGTTTGTTACTATATTTATTCATTAATTAAATTTAATTTCCCCAATAAAATAGAATAGTAAAAAGGAATCACATTCTGAGAAATTAGGCCATCCCAGGTGGGATTTGAACTCACGGCCATTGGATTAGATGTCCAACGCGCTATCCATTGCGCTACAAGGACACAACGAGCGACTTTCCTTTTTATATATGATGTTGGACTATTATTTTTGTTTGTTACTATTTATTCATTAATTACATTTAATTAATGAATTAAATAATGAAAAAACTGTATTAACAGCTAGTGTCTTCCACAACAAGTTTAAAAATTGTATTTGAACTTCAATGGATGAATATAAAGTATTTCATTAAGCGATTGAAAATTTGAACAAGATATATATAAATAAATATACATAGGGAGAGTGTGAATAGTAGGAATTGGAAAATATATTCGGAACGTGATAAAGGTATTATAGAAGTAATTTTCAAGTTTTTCCAATCTCTGGTTGTACAATAATATTTCAGAATTTCGTAATTCAACAAAATAGAACAATTCAAATAAAGTCATTAAAAGCTTAAAATTTAGTTTTTATTGTTTTACATAGTCAGGGAGTCCCAGAATCATTGGGTTAAACTTTAAGGGGAGGCAGGGAACATCGCAAAGATTCAGATTTGGGTAGCAACCCATGATCGGAAACGTCTTCGTTCGGCGCTATGTGGCGTTGTTCACAAGAGAATTTAAGGACACAGATCTGTATCACCCCAGTCATGTGAGCTATCATCGTCCGGAGAGGAGTATAGAACATTTTACAAACACCAAGCTGGCAGATATGTACCTGATTTACGGATTGGCAGAAGGAAATGAGCGAGCAACAGAATGATTGTATTGCGAAAGGTAGTCGCAGAGAGATGCAGCGGATTGCAGGATCTTTGCTAATTTGCATCACAATTTGTGTGAGTACGGATCATTACGAAGTAATGGGCATAGTGAGGGCGGGTCACGCAAACCAACGGTCACGATACCTAACACATATTGTTCCATCAATGGAACAAAATGTGTTTGGATACCGTTCGAAGGAATCCGAGCACCATGTAGGTACGTGGCCCATCCTCACTATGCCTATTACCTCGTGATGATCCACACCCGCACAAATTCCCATACAATGTGTAACGGCGGTGTATGCAGTGGAGAAGGCTTTTTGTGTTCTTGAATTTAGCAAAATGGAATCCACAACTGCTGTGGAACTGAATTTTCGATGACGATTCGAAGAAAAGAACCTCTAACTAAAAAATTCAATCTAATAATGGAATGAAAAATTTAAAACAGCTGGCTGGCTGTTTGTGCAAAAGTAGAAATTCTGGAGGAAGCTGAAACAGCGTATCATAGCCCAGTGGCATAGCGTACACCCCCACATCACGGGGGGGGGGAAGGCCAGGATTCTAGGAGGCCCAAAGCCTGATTGACGCCATGTAAGATCCCTTTGTAAGATCTGGCTTGGGGCCCAAAACCTGATTTTGTAGGGGAGCCCTAATGATCTCCGTTACGTCATTGTCGCAGCCGCTATCAATGGACTTGATACCTTAGCACACGTGTGGGTAGAAATGGAATAACGGTTCGATGAGTGTCGTGGGACTAAGTGTTCATACATAGAACATCTGTGATGGTCTCGAACAAAACTCTAAATGGTCCCATACAATTCTGTTACAAGTGATATATATCTTACATTGTTCTTGCTTTATAGTGCATTAAAACTCCGTATACTTCATTATGAATCCTCCTGTATTATGCACATCTTTATAAAAATTACTTAAACTGGGAGAAGGCGTGCACTCGATACTAACGTTAGTGCTCTCTCTAATCCTTTTTTAATAATTATTTTTATTGTACATAAAAATCGTGATTCCAGAGAACAATTTAATTAAAAGAAAGTATACTTATACCTACTTTTAAGGACTTTATTATTATTATTATTATTTCTTTTTTTGATAATATGAGAAAAAATCCTATCAAACTGAACTAAAATGTTTCAAATTTGCGTGACTTTAATAAAGGACACAAATCACACAAACACTTTTTGTTAACATTACATCAATGATATTTTTAGGCAAGATTGTCGTATGCTGTTCAAGTTATTGTCCTTTGATGATCGACAAATATGACGTTGAACTTTTCCTTGCTTGTGTCTTTTTGACAGGGCGCAGTCTGTCTTGGAGTACACTTGTGGCTTCATATCTTTCTTGGAGTTTCTTAGATAGCATTTGAAAACTTTGCTTTCAACTCAAACGTTTTATGTTCATCACTTTTCTCAAATTTACTTTCGATATCAGGATTAATATCCATGATTTCCTCAGGGTCTTCTCTTGCTTGATCAGTTTCAACTTCATCCGATAGAGATCGCACAGATGTCCGTTTTTTTCTTTATATTCTGTTTATTTACATTTATAAACCATATATAATGAGTCGTAAACAAAGCAATCAAAACCGCTAAATCACTCACAGGAGAAAATTGTAGCCTGTTCATAGAAAACATTTTGGAACAAAAGTGATAGTGTGGGGAACTCAGTCACCCCAAATGCCTTAAGGTCATTGGCATTGATACAGGCCTTAAAGAGGTACTCTCAATTCCTGATTCGAACAGCAACTGGATATTATCTGACAGCCATAGTGCATTCAACATCTTTCTAACTGGTATAAGGTGGGTGATAACACAGGAGTGGCTATTTTGGAGAAGCTAGAACATCTTTCTTCTTCTCGCGAGATCCATCTACAATGGGTTCCTTCGCACGTTAACATCGCGGGCTATGAGATTGCTGACTCCCTAGCAAAAGATGGCGCAGCTCAACACCCTATGATCTCGGCCGCTCTCACCTATTCAGAACTGCACTCCACCTACATAAACAATAAGCAATCAACTGTTCCTCCTGCTCATCACTGGTATCAAGCTAAGCGACCTGGTGGTTCTATTTTCCTTCAATGCAACAGGCAGGAACAAACTATTCTGACTCGTTTCCGGAGTGGCCACCTCCCAACTCTGACTTTTAGGGATGGAAATAAAGTTTTTCCAACTTGTGTAAGGTGTTCTGCAAGCCAGGTATCTCCAGAACACATTCTTGACTGTCTGGGACTTTCAAAACAAGATCTTTATGAAGACCATCTAATGGTGGTGGACCTTTTGAGAGTGAATGAGACAATGGACTCTCTTGGTCTAGCTTGGCTAGACATGGAGATGAGCAACAACAACAACACCTTAAGGTTGTAAAAAAACGTTTGTCACTCCCAAAAAAGAGGGAGATATGTGAGACAAATACATTTTAGTTCCCCATCAAGATTGTCATATAAGGATACTGAGAATGTCTCATTGGTAACAAATAAACAGTTTTTCCACACACACAGAATTAAAGATTTTGTGAGTCTGGGGTGATTCTGTGCCCCGCGTGAACGCTCCTGGGTCAAAACAATACTTTGAAAACATCACTAACCTAATTCATTCTTGTTCTCTTGTTCATCTTAAACATCTCCAAATAAAATGAAGAATAAAAAAAAAGTAATATAAAAAATTTTTTAAGACAATTCCTACTTAGATCAACAAAGAAAATTTTTATTTTAGTTACTTTTTATTAAATAGTTACAATTAATATAAATATGTATATACATATGACAGAATCACAACATTAAGTGGTAATTAATTTTTATTCATTATCATTAAAGTATCGTATCGTCATCCAAAACAATCGTGTATATAAAATTTCAGTGCAACTGAATGCTTTAAAACGTGAGAAAAAAAACCTTTTCAAGTTTTGACACAAGTCGCCAAAAATGATGCCAACGGGGTTGTATTTGTAATTCTTTAAATAGTTTTAATCAATTAATTTTTATTAATTATAGTTAAATTGTTGTATTGTCATTCAAAATAATCATGTATATAAAATTCCAGGTCAATTGAGCGCTTTAAAATGTATTTTACTAACTATTGACAATTTCACCAAGATAAATAAATAAATATAGAAAGAGTGTGAGCTAATAGTAGGAATTGAAAAAAGAAAACGATTTTTGTTACAAAATCAATAAAAATTCAACTCCTACCCCATTTGAGGTAAACAAAAGTGACATTAAACCTTCACTTATGTCACACGATTCAGGCAACGAAAGCTCCAATTAAGAAAACGACCCCTAAAGCATCTCAAGAATTCGTGAATTTCGAGAGATAAGAATTCCGAACAAACATACTTGAGTATTCAGTAATGCGATATAATCCCGTCATTTTTTGAGGGAGTCAAGTTAACTTCGTGGTAATCCTAATACCATCTAAGATGGACATCTTGATGAATGAGGGAGTTTTTTGCTCATTAAATTATACTATGACGTAAAGTGTTGACTTCGAATTAAAGGCACTTGCATACCGGCAATTTTGAATTCGTGAAAGCAGTATTAATTATCTCCTTAAATCTCAATAGGCGCATTCATTAGAATTTAATAAAATTTGAACGAAAAGCAAAAGTGAAGCTTTTTTGAAATTCCATTTTTTTTTTTTTTCTTCTAAAAGTATTTTTTAACGATTTGAAAACCCCACAAAATGAATTGTTAAAATAGACATAAAACATTTTACGCACAAAAATTCGAACAGTAGCCTTAAAAATTCAAATCCAGATTACATGCGATAGTCATCATCCAATTGTGGATGAAATATACCAATGTTCCCCAAACTTTTTGATCGCGTATATCGATAACACGAAAATAATCATAAGAAACACCACTGGCGTTGCTAGTCCCGCTTGGGCCTTGTATCAAAATTTCTTGTAGGGACCCTTTTTCTTGGTCTCTCAATATTTACAATTTTTCTCACACATTTTGGGGGCCCCTGTAGCTTGTGGACCCCGTATCTTTGATACGGCTGATGCGATGGTAGCTACGCCTCTGAGAAACACCTTACTATACACATGTAATCATGAGAGTTCGAAGAAAGGCAGTTGATGACTGTGTGTAACCCATGGTGATCTTGGCAACTTGATTTGAACCAGACATCTTTGAGTCCGGAAACCAAGAGTTGGACAACTGGGACGAAAAGGAGCCCCTATTCTGTCCAGTCGTTAAACGCTTTCGTTCCTGTCCGTTATTGGTTGCTACTCAGGGACGTAGTTATCGACGTATTAGCCGAAGATACAGGGGCTCAAACACGTGTAACT